AAAAAAAAAACTGTGTTGGGAGTCAAACTTGCTCCAGAAACAAAATGAGGTCAATTTAAAGTTCTCAGTTTTCACACTTACACACTGCAGATGAAGCAGACAGTTGGTGTTTGTTATCATGACTGTTATGAACTTTCTGATCAGATGAGTTGCTGGTTTTAAATCTAGATCTGATTATTCTGTGTCACAGAGTGAAAAGATGGTTTTAACTGGGTTGATGTTGTTTCATTTACTAATGAAATACTATAGTTCAGCCTTGGAGTCACAAATGCATAAATTAGTTTTTCAGCATCACTCTGAAACAGAACTTTCTTAATCTTGACAATACTGCACAGTCTTAAGAAAGACTTGTTTTATGTGTTAGTTAAAGGACATATCCTGGTCAAAAATAACGAGACAGTTCCTCACTGTAAAACTAGAGTATGAGGCAATGGCATCCAGAGGAACTATCTGGTTCGATGGTGTGTTTCTAAGGTGTTATCGCCAAACACAGGAAATTAAACTTTATCTAAATTTAGAGTAAAAAAAAGTACAGCTCATCCAGGCTGAAGACCTGTTTGGAGTTTGACTGATAAATTTCATCTGGCTTCATAGATAAATGAACCTTATATTGATTTCACAATAATCACAAAGACTTAAATGAGGCAACAAACACTGAAGAAGACATTCTTGATTTCACTGATCCAATTTACTTCAGTTTAGTTTATTGTGATCTGTACAGAAAATCCAGACTGAAGACGAACAAACCATACAAGTGTAACAGAGTGTGTCTCCCTCTAGTGGATGTAGTTGAGTTTTCTCTTGTCTTTGCTCCAAAGTTTTTTGTACAGATTTTTGCTGTTTACTCTCACTGTGGGCTGCAGAGCACAGTAGTACACAGCGGAGGCTATCACTGCAGTTGAAATGATCTCCAGATCTACACGTTTGTGTGTTTTGTTATTGTGAGCAGAGAAGTCAGAAAGAGCTGGATTTACAGTGTCTCCCTCTGTGACGGACCTCTTGTTTTCCTTTTCCTATCTAATGATAAGGGGCGCTGCTCATGCTGGCTGACACGACAGTTCTCCCTCCTGTCTCCCCTTGTTATTGGTCATTGTCTTTTTATGTTTCTTGGACGGGATGTAACTGTAAACACAATTTCACAAAAACTGTAAAATCACAAGATTTGCACTACTGCAACCCAGTCTCACGGCAGTTCATGAAATAGTCACGAAACTTAGTCTATTGATTTGTGTCCAGGGACATGTATTGGCC